TTTCTTATTCTTTGGTTTTTGTGTATTTTTTTAAGTATATTTTATTTGTTTGTTTGTTTGTTTGTTTGTTTTTTACAAAGAGGAAGGGAGAGAGATAGTTAGAAACATCAATCAGCGGCCTCTTGCACACCCCCTACTGGGGAAGTGCCCACAACCAAGGTACATGCCCTTGCCCGGAATCGAACCTGGGACCTTTCAGTCCGCAGGCCAACACTCTATCCACTGAGCCAAACCAGTTTCTGCTGGTTCTTGTTTTTAAGTCATGGGAGCGCAGAAATCTGTTTCTTCAGCATGAGTTCTACCTGCTCTCATATTCTCCACATAACTAACAATCACTTCTCTTCTTTAGGTACTCCTGGTAGATGGAAAAAACGTGCCCATTCCCAATAAACACGTTTTCATCTCCGCAGCGGAAGACAAGTATTTTTTCAATGCAACTACCAATGAGCAGGGTCTTGCACAGTTTTCAATTGATACTGCCAGTATACCGGATAACATGCTTTTCATTACAGTAAGTATGAGAGAAAAGGAAACCCGAGAACAAAGAGAACCTTAGTAAAACAGTCATTTATTCAGAAGTGAAGAAGGACACAGCTGTATTTAAGAGAGAGAAATAAGAAGCTGTGCAACTTGGGGATAAGCTTGGGTATGTAAAAATGTCATTGGAAATAATGAAGACATTAGAAAAGATATTGTAGAAGTTCCTGAGAATTATTAAGGAGGGGTAGGGGAGGGGAGAGAGGAGACATCTGTAATACTGTCAACAATAAAATAAAAATGTTTTAATTATTCTTAAAATTTAATGTATTGTATAAAAATATCAGGATTTTTTTTTTTCCTGAACAATATCAGTTCTTCAATTGCGGATTCATGTAATTTGTTTTATGTTGTTTTTCCATGTCTACATAGATAGATATTTTTTAAATGATCAGAACCCCCCACAACATACATATTTATATATTGCCTAGTAAAAAGGATTTTTAAGAAAATCTATATAAAGCCCTGGCTGGGTAACTCAGTTGATTAGAGCATCATTCTGATACACCAAGGTTGTGGGTTCGATCTCCAGTCAGGACACATACAAAAATCAGTCAATGAATGCATTAAAAAAAAGTGAAACAACAAATTGATCTCTCTCTCCCACTCAATAATCATGAGAGGCATCGGTGCTAATTTGCTGAGGATTATTTTTTTTAATATATTTTATTGATTTTTTTTTTACAAAGAGGAAGGGAGAGAGATAGAGAGTTAGAAACATCAATGAGAGAGAGTCAACGATCATCTGCCTCCTGCACACCCCCCTCTGGGGATGTGCCTGCAACCAAAGTACATGCCCTTGACCGGAATCGAACCAGGGACCCTTCAGTCCGCAGGCTGATGCTCTATCCACTGAGCCAAACCGGTTTTGGCAGATTATTTATTTTGAGACCCCTAGGTAATAACAGATTTAAAAAAAATATATATATATATATATATATATATATATATATATATATATATAAAATGTGATTTTAATTAAACCAACTTAAAAAAAAAAGATTCCTATTAAAGATTTTTAGCATTTTAACTGGACCATTGTTGTGCCTCTGGCTCTGAGCTGCAAAACAGTCAAATGAGTAATGAGTTGGCAGAATCAGGGCAAAGGAGATAAACCTGCAGCTTATTTTCTTTTAATCTGTGCAAATTAAGAGATTGGCAACATGTTTAGTTGGCGGTCAGCGAGAACAAGAGAAATGCAAACTATATCTTAGGGTAGAAGACACAAAATTGTAACTTCATTTTGGTGGGAGGCTAAAGTGAAGACAATGTTGATTCTTTGTGCTTCTGTCTTATCAGGCCTACCACGAGAAGATGGACAGGTGTTTTAGCTTTGCATGGCTGCAAGAGGAACACATGACCGCTCGGCACGTTGCAAGACATGTTTTCTCCTCAAGTGGAAGTTTCATTGACCTGGAGCCTGTGGTTGGGACCCTGCCCTGTGACCACACACAGACTATCAGGGCACACTATATACTCAAGGTGCCAGCCCCTGGGGAACTGAAGGAGCTCCTTTTCTACTACCTGGTAAGAGTAACGCCACAGATCTATTTGGAGTTTATCGGTAGACAGAAGTGGTGAATGGAACCAGGGATGTAAAAAAAGTATTTGTGCACTACTCTCTTGCTTTCTTATCCAGGTTCCGTTGATTCTTGACTTTCAGGAGGTTGATTTTCCGTAGCAGAGACTCAACCATCCAAAGTCGGTTCTGTGGCCCACTCGGTGTGGCTCAGTGGTTGAGCATTGACCTATGAACCAGGAGGTCACAGTTCAATTCCCATCAGGGCGCATGCCCAGGTTGCAGGCTGTATCCCCAGTGGGGGACATGCAGGAGGCAGCTGATTAATGATTCTCTCATCATTGATGTGTCTATCTCTCTCTCTCCCTCTCCCTTCCTCTCTGAAATCAATATTTTTTTTAAATAGGTTATGTGGAGAATAAGGTATTGAAAAACAGTGTCAGGCTCAAGAAAAGTTCTCTGCTGATTTTTCATTTCAGGTCATGGCTAAGGGAGGCATCGTTAGATCAGGAACACATGCTCTGCCTATAGAGCCAGGAGACAGTGAGTATCTTCCAATCCGTCACCCATTTCCTTGCCAATACATCCACCCTTACTCTGTGATGGTTCACAAATGGGGAAATCATTCCCTTTATCCCTTTACACTAAGATAGGGGACAAAAGCCCTAGCAGGTTTGACTCAGTGGATAGAGTGCTGGCCTGCAGACCAAGGTGTCTCAGGTTCGATTCCGGTCAAGGGCACGTACCTCAGTTGCAGGCTCCCTTCCAGCCCAGGCTCTGGTTGGGATACGTGCAGGAAGCAACCCATTGATGTGTTTCTCTCCCATTGATGTTTCTCTCTGTCTTTCCCTCTCTCTAAGAACCAATGGAAAAATATCCTCAGGTAAGGATTAAAAAATAAATTGGGGGCGGGGGGAACAAAAGAAAAGAAAGTAAAGATCCTCTTTACTTATAACTCTTGGGCATTTTTTCATTCAACAACAGTCAACAGAGAAATGTGCTTACCTGCTATGTGTAGGGCACTCTGCTAAGGTACACTTTTTTTTTTTTCACATTCGTCTTTTCTGTCTGACATTAAAATAAAAACTATTTAAAAATGAAGTTTCCTTCTGTTTCTAACCCTAACAACAAATGTACATTCATCATCTTTAATCTCAGTATTGCAAAGAAGAGAGGTAAGTATCATGGGGGAGGGTATTTTTTGTGCAGTTTCTGAGCTAGTCTCTTTTTTAAAAAAATATATTTTATTGATTTTGTACAGAGAGGAAGGGAGAGATAGAGAGCTAGAAACATCGATGAGAGTCATCGATCAGCTGCCTCTTGCACACCCTCTACTGGGGATATGCCCACAACCAAGGTACATGCCCTTGACTGGAATCGAACCCAGATCCCTTCATTCCCCAAGCCGATGCTCTATCCATTGAGCCAAACCGGTTTCGGCTGAGCTAGCCTCTTTATGAGGATGCATATTGTGCTGTGGGAGTGAAATTGAGTACTTCACATATGAACTTGAGTACACTTCACAAATAAGTTAGGAGAAAGGAAACCAGTATTATTTTTATTCTGATTAAATCTATATCAAGGTTTAAATCACTGAAAAGAGAAACAATGAACATTATTTTTTTAACATATTTTATTGATTTTTTTTTTATATAGAGAGAGGAAGAGAGGGAGAATTAGAAACATCAGTGAGAAAGAAACATCCATCAGCTGCCTCCTGCACAGACCCTACTGGGAATGTGCCCGCAACCAAGGTACATGCCCTTGACCAGAATCGAGCCTGGGACCCTTCAGACCGCAGGCTGATGCTCTATCCACTGAGCCAAACCTGTTAGGACCCCATGAACATTCTTGTAATTAATCTAAACAACGGCAAGTATTTCACCAAACTCCACACAACCCCAGTGCTAAACTTATACTTAAGATTTGTTCCAAATCTATGACTTTTCTTTACTTTTATGGTTCCTTTCCCTACCAGGCTGTTTGTAATATCAAAACAATAGTCAAGAAGATTTAATTTTAAAATAAGCTACTAATCAGCACTTTCAATAATTGAAATAAACATTAAAGAATGCTGCAGTTTTGAATATCATTTTCGGCAATATTTATGTAGAGAGCGATACAGTGATCTGGACCCTATTGCTTGCAAGGTTCCCCTTCAATCCATCTTGTTGCTTGTTTTTCTACTTTCTTTAATAATGCAGCATGTAACACACTTATAGAAACAGGTGTGTCTAAAAACACTACTTATCTAATTTTCTCTGATATTTTAATTTGTGCATAATTCATAAAAGAAATAATCTCTGATTAGTAATATAAAGAAGACTCCTTTAATTACTTACACATCACAAAAAAAATGTATTGAAAGTAACTGAGGCAATGATTGAAAGGAATTTCTCTAAATAAGAAATTAAACCACATGCTGAAACCGGTTTGGCTCCGTGGTAGAGCGTCGGTCTGCAGACTGAAAGGTCCCAGGTTCGATTCTGGTTAGGGGCATGTACGTTGGTTGCGGGCACATCCCCGGTAGGGGGGTGTGCAAGAGGCAGCTGGTCGATGTTTCTCTCTCATTGACGTTTCTAGCTCTCTATCTTTCTCCCTTCCTCTCTGTAAAATATCAATAAAGTATATATTTAAAAAAAAGAAATTAAACCACAATTATTTATAATAAACCATTTTAATCACACATCAACATTACAGTATTAATTGCCAATTTGTTCCCCACAAAAGAGTTACTAAAAACTCTTCACTGTGTTAGATTAAAAAAAAAACTTGTTTCACAATTTGTCTAGCTCAACCTTTTGAAGTACTTAAGTTTAGCTCCTTCCTGACTAATATATTCTTTTTTATATGCTATTCTGCATCGTGTTTTAATATCAGGATACAAATGATTAATTTCAGAACTATTTCAAAATCTGTTTAAAATTCAGAATTCAGGTTTTTCATAACAAAGCCTTCACAATTTTCATTACTAATCGGTCACTTTCCGCCCAGAGCTTTCTTTCTCTGCCAAAACATTATTGAGAGTTTATTTTCTTTCCAAAGCTTCCTCTGCCAGAACATTACTAAGAGGTTACTTTCCCTCCAAAACTTCCCCTGCCAAAAAAAAGTGTACCATAACTTCTCTTTCCATTTTATAATATTTCAATCTATTCTTTCCATGTATGGTTAGCTCAACACAACAAATACAAGGGTTGACATTTCCCTCCTTTTAGAAGGGAGCTCACTCTTTTTTAGAATTATAAGCTGAAACTTGACCTCTCCCACGATACAAATACACGACTGCCATAGTCTTGCCTTTCTGGTCCCCAAGAAGTTGGGAAAGGGGAAATTGGTGAGTTGTTAAATAGGTATAGAGTTTCAGATTTGCAAGATGAAAAAAGACCTGGAGATCTGTTTCATAGCAATGTGAGTATACTTAGCACCACTAAAGCATTCTTTAAAAAAATGGTTAAAATGGTACATGTTGTTTGTTGTCTTCTCATCACAACAACAACAAAAAGGCATATATTTGAAAAAAAATAAACTTTATGATTTTATCTTACAAGTTACAGCTCTATCTTTAAATGGAAAAATCATCTCTTGTCTGAAACCAAAAAGAAATGGTTGCTATTCATCACAAAATATATGTCTTATTCTTAATTTTTAAATGAGTCCATCAGGCTTTAATTAAATACATGTATATATCAGCAGACTACTTTTTTAGCTATTCAGATTTAAGTTCATTTAGGCATAAATCAGGGAGAGATAAGGGTGAACGTAAGGAGCTGGAACTTATTCTACAATGGAAGTTGTGAAGGGAGACATTAGCCTATTAATGTTTATCCCTTCACTAGAATGGCCTAAGGAGGTTAAGCCAGTGAATGCATGGGCACGGTTCTCAGTTGGATACGACCTAGGAAAGCATGCTGACCTGTGACCATTTTGTCTCACTCTCTCTGTGCCCCAGTGAGAGGCAGTTTTTCCTTAGCCCTCCCTGTGAAGTCAGACATTGCTCCCACTGCACGAATGTTCATCTTTACCATTTTCCCAAATGGAGAAGTTATTGGAGATTCACAGAGTTTTGAGATTGAAAACTGTCTGGCCAACAAGGTGAGTGTCTTTAGCAAAAAAATCATACAACACAAATAAATGGTATCATACTTTACCTCAGAAGGGGAGGGGGGAGGAATGAATCCAGAAAAGTAAAATGAGTTGCCCAAAGTTTCCAGGCAGCCAGCACAATAATTTCCCAATTCCACAAAATTGCTTGCACATAAAATATAATTTAGCTTTGTATCCTTGGCGCCCAATTGCATGGATCCAATTGAGTGAGGGAAATAAGATGCTGTGACTCCAAAGCTTCAAAACCTTGAAGAACAAATAGAAACACTTGATTATGAATCAGAGGCAATAATGTGCCTCTAACATTCAAGCAAGGCATCTGTCCCTGATGACCCTCCGTTGTGTCCTTAAAGCAACACAGCCTTTCAACAGCAAAGGCGAGATGAGAAGAGAGGCTCCTTCCTGACTGATGCTCCGAGCACGGTCATTAAAGCTGAATGTCAGGGTGGCCCAGGGATGAGGTCTCCGCAGGAGGACACAAACAGAAGTGCGGGATGACTGTTCCTTCATATCTCGCAGGTAGATTTGAGCTTCAGCCCAGAACTGAGTCTTCCAGCCTCGCCCGCCCACCTGCGAGTCACAGCTTCTCCTCGGTCGCTCTGTGCCGTCCGTGCCGTGGACCAAAGCGTGCACCTCCTGAGGCCTGAGGCAGAGCTCTCCCCATCCTCGGTGAGTCTTCTCAGCCTCAGGGGTTAGAAATGGCTGCATGAGGCGCTCAGAGCAAGAAGGCCCTGTGGAGAATAAAATGCAAGAATATAATTAAAATATTTGCCAGTTGTCTAGTATTTTATAGTTTCTCAAGCTCTCTCACACATTTTCTCACTTACTCTTTCCAGCATCCCAGAGAGTAAGTAACAGCCCTATTTTATGATGTAAAAACTAAGGTGTGTAGTCTTTGTTGGTGTAGTTCAGTGGGTAGAGCATTGGCCCACAGACTGAGGGATCCGGGTTCAACTCCTGTCTAGGGCACATGCCCAGGTTGCAGACTCGGTCCCCAGTAGGAGGCCTGCAGGAGCTGCCAATCCATGATTCTCTCATTGACGCTTCTATTTCTCTCTCCCTTCCTCTTCCTCCCTGAAATCAATAAAAATATGTACTTTTAAAAAAGAATTTTATTAAAAACGAGCACTTAGTTTGTAATAGTTGAGAGACTTGTACCAGCTTACCCGGAAGTGACATAGCTGAGGCATCATTCTAAAACTGCCTACAAACTGCAGTCTCCTTCTTGACATAACTCCATGCTTAGAAGGAATCAAACCTGAACTTGTTAACTCATGCTTTACAATAATCTTACTGTAAGCTAATTTTTTTAGATGTAATATTTATATAAGTCATGCTAAAAAAAAAAAAGAAATTAATAAGTTGTTTAAGTAAAATCATTGTGGGCCAAAAAGAACACAAATTAAATCATTTTGGTGAGTGGAGTAATTAATTTTATAAAATTAATACAAGCATGTCAAGAAACTTTTGATGAATCTAACAATGTATGCCTCTAGAGAACCTTGAGGTCTGTAAAAGTGGTAATAAATAATTCACAAATTATTTTCAATTAAAAAAAAAAAAAGAACATGACCTATCACACCTTTGTCAGGAATGATGATTCACAGACTAAAATTTTAAGTCTCTCCTATTTTCTAGAATCATATCATTCATGGTGGTAATATTTGGAGTGTCGTGCTGATTTATTGCGGTTATCAGCAGCAGCAGCAGCAGCACTCGGTGTACTGAGTCTGTTGTAGGAGCTAGGGAAATACCAGTCAACATGTCACAATCCTTTTCCTTACAGAGCAGTGACTTGAGAGAGACTATAATAAAAGGTTTACATGGCTCAGAAAAATAAAAAGTGAAATACTGGTTAATAATTGGCATTAGGAGGAAATATTTTCAAACATAGGGTTGTCATTTTCTTAAAATATATTTTATTGATTTTTTTTTCTTTTTTTTTTTTACAGAGAGGAAAGGAGAGGGATAGAGAGCTAGAAAATCGATGAGAGAGAATCATCCACCAGTTGCCTCTTGCACACCCCCTCTGGAGATGTGCCCACAACCAAGGTACATGGCCCTTGTCCGGAATCGAACCTGGGACCTTTCAGTCCACAGACTGATGCTCTATCCACTGAGCCAAACCAGTGTTGGCCAAACATAGGGTTTTTTAAGAGAAGCCTATCAGCAAAAAGGGAAAATTCAGAGACTACTTTTCTAACGTATATATAGAACTAACATTACTCATATTTTGAATTTTTCAGTATAAGTCAATTGAATGATATGTTATTGGATTTATCATTGTCAAAAAGTTATGACTGGCAAATTTTATAGCTTTCATTGCCTCAGGCATCAATATTTAAAAGGAAGTCTAACTTGCTGTTTGGAAAGTATTATGAAGTATCAATGTTGGAAGATAAATCAGTAATATTGCAGTTTCTTTGGGGTTTTATTCTAGTTTCTACTTCTCAAACTTCAATTGTGTGCATTAAATTTTAAAACTGTGAGATAGCTATGTCAAGGACCACGATCCTGTTTTTAATTAACATTCTTGCCGAAACCAGTTTGGCTCAGTGGATAGAGTATCGGCCTGCGGACTGAAAGGTCCCAGGTTCGATTCTGGTCAAGGGCATGTACCTTGGTTGCAGGCACATCCCCAGTAGGGGGTGTGCAAGAGGCAGCTAATAGGTGATTCTCTCTCATCGATGTTTCTAACTCTCTATCCCTCTCTCTTCCTCTCTGTAAAAAATCAGTAAAATATATATTTTTTTAAAATTAACATTCTTCAGACCTCTCCATAGGACTGCCTGAATGTCCTCATAACTTGACAGGTGATTTCCTTCAAACTAGTGACTCAAAAGAGAGAAGATAAAGCTGCAATATCTTTTATGACCTAGCCCTCATTCCCATCATTTCCACAAAACTTTATTAGTTATAATGTCAGCCCTACTCATTATGGGAGGAACCACACAAAAGCATGAATATCAGAAGGCAGAGATTATGGGTCTGGGGACAATTTGGGAGGCTCTCTTCACAATCTACCCTCAGACTCCCTGTGATTCATGAACCTCCCGCATGTAAAATACACTCACTTTTCTCCCTAAAATTCTCATTCCAAAATAGCAACAGCTTAAGGACTGCACCACATCATTTAACTTGGTTCTAGGTGCATTTGATACTTTTTAGATATAGTTCCTCAAGAACAGTTTCTGTAGTTATAACGACCTTTAACTTAAAGTGTACAAAGTTATTTACCCCCCACACCCAACATACAATGGTGAAAAGTGACATATGGACACTCCTGAGGTATGTTTGGTTTTTTTCTTTTCCTACTTTTTAAATTAAATGTATTGGGGTAACATTAGCTAATAACATTATATAAATTTCAGGTGTACACCTTTATATTATGGCATCTGTATACTCTATTTTGTGCTCACTACCCAAAGTCTAGTCTCCTTTTGTCACCTTGTGATTGACCCCTTTACCCTCTTCCTCCTCCTCCCACCTTCCCTCCCTCTGGTAACCATGATTCTGTTATCTATATCTATGAGTCTTGGATTTTTCTGTTGGTTTGTATGTTTGTTTTGTTTGCTCATTTGTTACTATTTGTTTTATATCTAAGACTAGAGGCCTGGTGCACAAAATTCGTGTACAGGTAGGGCCCCTAGACCTGGTCAACAATCAAGGCCAATCTGTAGGGTGACTGGTGGGGCAATCAGGGGGCCCCCACTGGCACCAATCTTGACTGGCCTAGGGCCTGGGGGCTGAGAGCAGCTCCTGCACTGAGCATCTGCCCCCTACTGGTCAGTGCACATCATAGTGACTGGTTATTTCACTGGTCCTTCCACCATTCGGTCAATTTACATAGTAGGGTTTTATTATATAGGATATGAGTGAAATCATACAGTTCTTGTTCTTTTTCACCAGATTTATTTCTTTTAGTATAATACTCTCAAACTCTATCCATGTTGTCACAAATAACAACATTGCATGTTTTTTTATGGCTGAGTAGAATTCCGTGGTATAAATTAATATGTACCACATCTTCTTTCAAAGAACACTGTCATCAATCATCTGTCAAAGGGCACACCTGTTTCTTAAAATGGGGAGTTGGGGAGAGGCACACAGGAGTTATTGGTTCATAGCAGTTCTGAGATCCAGCCAAGCAAATGTTGGAAGTTATTTGGTATGACTCAGTCTTACTCTAGACCAAGAATACAGGCCTCTTAATTTCATCCTGTAGGTTCTTGGTTCTCTTTTTTTGTCATCCTTCTTGTTCCTAAAAGTGACCCTCCTGTGTTTACAATTGTGTAGACAGTGTTCTAGTTGAGTATAGGTTATGTGTAGTTATTGATGTACCTGTGTGGTTCTATCCAAGAACAAAGCTCAATAGAAATAGAAGTTTATAGATGGCAATAATTCTTACCTAAGTTTCTCAGAGCATTAACTATTCATCCAACACAGAAGCAAGTTAGATTTCCTTCCCATATTTGGTCGGTCTAGTTTTATTTCTAAACTTTACAGTGAAGTTTTTATTAATCCTTGATAATTTAAGATTCTATTATTCCATGGAACTATTTTCCCAAGTAGATTTTCCATTTTTAGAACAAAAAACACTGTTAAGGAGGTGGAAGAAGGTATAGATGAGGATAAATGGTGATGGAAAAAATAAAGTAAAATTCTTTAAAAAAAAACTATTCAAAACACACAAAATCAAAATTTTTAACCTCTCTAAGGTACTAACAGCATGAAGATATTTAGGAAAGGGATAATTATCATACTTTTCTCAGTTTACTGTATATTTCAAAACAAGAGCAAGTAAGAGTTCTGTCTTTAATTTCTCCACTGTTACAGGTATATAATCTGCTACCTGTAAAGGACCTCACTTATTTCCCTGAAAATTTGGACCGGGAAGAGGAAGAACAAGCAAACTGTCATTTTCCTCATACTAGTGCAAGAGGCTTCTATATTCCCCCAGAAATGTATGATGAAGAAGATATGTATGACTTCTTAAAGGTAAATTCCTTACTACTTACTAAGGTAATAGCTTATGAAAGTTTGAATGTTAGTAAAACTACAATATATATATATATATATATATATATATTTTAAGAAATTGTTTAACTTGACATTTCATTGAGATATTCTTAGTTATATTTAGTTATTAGAAAAAGATGCTCAATTATACAATTCTAAAACATCATAAAGTACTATAATTTCACCATTCTATATTTCTTGAGTGTGTGTATGTCTATGGAATTAATATAACATTAAGATCATTGGAATTAATAAGTTAATTCTAAGGAAAAAGTATTTCATGAAGTCTAATCATTTTTACAGGGTATGGGATTAAAGGTGCTCACCAACTCAAAAATCCAAAAACAGAGGTCATGTCCAATGATTAGCTCAACTGTACTAGCTGAACCGCTAGAAATGCCTGGAGGATATGGAGGTAAAAAAAAAAAAAAAAAAAAAAAAATTAATTAATTTCATGTCACATCCAGTAATATTACTTTGTAAAAAATGGAAAAGGTTGAATGAGATACATAATATAGCCTTATTTCATTTATACATAGAGAAACAAAGATTCTGATAAGATGCTTCTTGCTGAGATCATTTAGCTGGTAAATGTCATGGCCTAAACTGACTGGAGTTGTTTGTTAGATGAGTCAGATACTTTAGGGTGCAGAATCACAGAAATTCAAGATTCTAATAAAATTTATAATGGAAAAAGAGTGTAATTCTAATT